TGGGTTGCCACCATAGCATGGCTGACAAGCGGTGCCCGTCCGCACTCGGGATCCAACCCCACAAACCTGGGCCACTGAAGCAGAACACACTGAACTTAACCACTATGTCACACGGCCAGCCCCTAGATTTAAGAGTGTTTATTCTTTATATCTTGAACTGTTGTTGAAATCTTCCACCAAGATTGCAATTTTTCACCTTATATTTTCAAGGCTTTGTGTGTGCGTTGTGTATATTTATAATATATAAGTAATCATACATATTCTTAACCGTTAATGTGGATTTGTAGCTGTTTCAAACTTTTGAGACCATAATCTACTTTAACACTATTGACATACTTGATTTTTCTGTTTACCTTTGGGGAGGGGAGTTGGTTCATCCTTTTATATTGAACTTTTCTGTGTCATTTTAGTTGGTTTTCTCTTTTATTATGTTTTCAGTATTACTGTTTCCTGGATATTTCCTTTATTCCCCATTTTTCATGTATGTTGATATTTGATTAATTTTTTAAGCTTCTTTTAGTCATTTGGAAGTTATGCATACAACTTTTCTTTGGTATCTTCAATCTTTTAAATCAATGTCTAGAATGAAACATTATGTATCAATGATCATTTCCCTCCAGCAACAATGAAAGTGCTTTCGTTTCCTTCCCTGGCATTACCTCCCAATGCATTTGCAAAGTTGCATGCATCTGTGTAACTGCCACCCAAATCAAGATGCAGAACTTTTCCACAGTCCTTCCCCCTTCCAGGCAAGCACTCCCCATCCCCAGAGGGAAAAGCTTTCTGATTTGTGTTGTCACAGATTGGTTTTACATTCCCAGGGTTCATATAAATGGAATCACACCACATATACGCTTGTGTCTGCCTTCCTTTGTTCAATACAATGTTTTTGAGATACATTCCTCATCTGGCATTATCAGTGGTTTATTCTTTTTCATTGTTGAGTAGTATTTCATAGCATAAATATTTCAAAAATTGTTTTCCACTCTCCTATTTATGGATACCTGGGTTATTTCCAGTTTGGAGCTATTATAACTAAGGGTACTATGAACATGCTTGTACAAGTCTTTTTGTAGACATACGTTTTCATTTCTTTTGTGTATGTGCCCAGGGGTAAAATTGCTGGTTTGTTTGTATACTTGACTTTGTAGGAAACTGTTGAACAATTTTACAAAGTGGCCATTTCATTCTACCGTCCAGCCAGAAAATTACAAACAGTTCCAGTTTCTCATCTTCACTATCATTTGACATTTTATAGAAATCTACTTTGACATATAAACATATCAACTTGCTTCCACTTATTGTTGCATGATATAACTTTTTTCCACCCCTTTCTTTTTAACCGGTGTATTTTTTAAAAATTTCTCTTATAGATAGCATATATTTGGGTCTAATTTTTATCCAGTCTATCTTTGCCTTTTAAATAAAGTGTTTAGCTCATTTACAATTGACGTAATTGTTAATATGCTCGGGTTAAAGCCTGCCATGTTGGTACTTTTTTTATTTGTCTTAACTGTTTTTATTCCTCTGTTGCCCTTTCCCTGTCTTCTTTTCCATTAATTGAGTACTTTCAGAATTTTATTATATCTTCCCTATTGATTTCAGATTTTATTCTCTTTTTTTCTGATAGTTATTCTGGACATACCAACATGCATCCTTAACTTATCCATGTTCTATCTTAAAGTAATATTACATTACTTCAAAAATGAAGTTAGTGTTTTTAATTTGTCCACATGTATACTCTTTATATTCTTATTGTCATCTATTTTATTTATACATGTGTTATAAACCCCATAATATATTGCTATTAGTTTTGCTTTAAATAGTCAATAATTTGTTTTTCCCTCCCCTGAGCCCCAGTACATGGTTGTATGTCCTAGTTGTAAGTCATTCTAGTTCTTCCATGTGAGCAGCTGCCACAACATGGCTACTGACAGACGAGTGGTGTGGTTCCATGACTGGGAAGTGAACCCAGGATGCGGAAGCAGTGAGAACACCTAACTTTAACCATGAGGCCCGCAGGGCTGGCTCTGGGCTTTCTTTGAAGCTTTATTAGATTCACTTTGCCACGAGCTTCAAAGATCGTGGGGGAAGGTAAGAACTATCCCTTTGGCAGATGTTGGAATTTGTCCAGTGGAGCACTCTCTATTCTTTTCATAGAGAGCTTATGCTGCCAACATTCGGGATCACTGAGTTCTTTTCCTCTCCAGTATTGTCTCCAACTTTCTGCAACTTGGAAGCTCTCTCTCCATGCTGAGCTTCTGTCCCTAGACTTTGATGAGCTCTTGCTTTGCACTTAGTGAAGGATTTATGTACTTTGGGAGAATTTCTCTCAGTTCTCCTGTCCTACCCACAGCCTTTGGTAGGATGCTGCCGTGGTTCTTGATTAAGTTAAAATTCACTGTGATTTTTTAAAATAAAAAATTACACAACAGTGTAACAGCAGATGTACATTGCCAGATATTGTCTTGACCTTCACTATAGAATTTTACATGTAATTAATCAATAAAAAGTCATTTATATCCTACTTTAACCTGAGACAAGACAAATTTCTCAGGTAAACTATATTACTATGCCAGTGTTAAGTACAGATTCATTTTAAAGATTTTATTTTTTCCTTTTTCTCCCCAAAGCCCCCCGGTACATAGTTGTGTATTCTTCGTTGTGGGTTCCTCCAGTTGTGGCATGTGGGACGCTGCCTCAGCGTGGTCTGATGAGCAGTGCCATGTCCGCGCCCAGGATTCGAACCAATGAAACACTGGGCCGCCCGCAGCGGAGCGCGCGAACCCAACCACTCGGCCACGGGGCCAGCCCCAGTACAGATTCATTTTAATCCAATAAAAGTTTTAAGACAACATATGATTGGTAATATTAACAAACATTATTGTTTACTATACAAAAAACACATGGTTTGATATTAATGTGCAAACACAAAAAAAGTGTGCAGTTTCTTGTATCTGCAAAACCATGGTCACAATTCCAATACTTGCAAACTCACATACCCATGTGTCAGATGTGCTAGAAGCAGACACCTGGCCACATTATATAAGGCTGTTAAAAGTTTAGAAAGGTAGGTGACGTCTTATTTGCTTTGGGGTTGCTGACACTGAACACAGAGTGGATACAAAGCACGCCCTTCATATATTATTGAATAAACAGCTTGGATAGAACAATAAAGCTTCACAAATAACCTTCAACAATAAAACACAGGTATCTAAAGTATTATAACCAGTCAGAATCCCACTGGCATTTCTTATGATAATAGATATTTTCCAAGAACCCATGGGCAGGATTTTCTCTTGGGTCATCTAGCCTATTCATCTCACTCAATAAACAAGACTTGGAAAGGCAGCTGCCCACATTTAGGTCTCTCTCAGTTGTCCTAGACAGACCTTGCTCTCCTTGAACCCAAGACACCAGGCAGAGAGTCCTAAGACTTTGCTATGATATGCCAGTGGAAGGAGTTCTTCCTGGAGGCTGCCCCACCTTCTTGTAAATCAGCTGTAACCAACTGGCAGATGTAGCCAGGAGTGTGTTTCCTCTCTCCTCACACTCCCAACTTGTCCCAGTTTTACTCAGTTCCACCTTGGAAATCATTGTCCCTGGGCTCCAGGAAAGCCCACATCTGGTCTCCTGACACTCCTCATCTGACAGTTCTACACATGCCTTATTGCTTCTCACCTCTGAACTTTTGCTTCTGCTGCTCTCTTTGCTCGGGACATCCCTTTCTTCCCCACCTCCATCCCCTGACGCATCGGCTAAATGCAGTCTATCAGACTGAGCCCAACCTGGGGATTTGAAGAAGGCTTCCAGGAGGAGATAATATCTGAATTAAATGCCCTTCATCTGAGTTCCCACACCACCCGGTGAATGTGCACGTCACTTTAGACTTCACATATCACACTGTTTTCATGTAAGACTCCTCCCACTAGGCTTGACTCTGCGATGCTCCAGGCAGGAGACCTTGGCTGACAAATTTTTGTTTCCAGTATGTCTGAACATAGCAACTAGTTTACAGTAGTTGCCCAATAAATATACTCAACTAACCTAAACTGAGATGGGCTCATCCCTCTCTGGCCCTGTATTTTGATGATAAGGTTGTGTGTCTTCCTCAGGGCAACTGCTTCTACTTGTCCAGAGGTCTGGGGCAGAAAAGCTCCTGATATCTGAATGCCTGTCATCATTTTACTTCATTTTGGGAGAGTCAAGGTCATGGCTCAGAACCCTTGCTTTAACTCAATGATTTTTAGGCTTGCTAATCAGTGCAGTACCTCGAAGATCAGTTAGATTAGTGAAATATTTATTTTATTATTCCTGGGTTGATCAAGTACTACCTACTACTTGATTCTAGAATAGGCAAAGATACACTAGAAGAGTTAGTAGTTGTAAAAAAATTTATGGGAAAAATTTTTTTATTTTGTTTATTTATTTTTTTTGGTGAGGAAGATTGGCCCTGAGCTAACATCTGTTGCCAATGTTCCTCTTTTTGCTTGAGGAAGATTTGTGCTGAGCTAACATTTGTGCCAATCTTCCTCTGTTTTGTATATGGAACTCCACCACAACATGGCTTGATGAGCAGTGTGTATGTCTGTGCCTGGGATCTGAACTTGCAAACCCTGGGCCGCCAAATTGGAGCATGCAAACTTACCAACTATGCCACTGGGCCAGCCCAGGAAAAAAAGTTGTAATTGAGATGTTTCTGTGTACTGATTAACTTTTTTTTTGTTGTTACAAATTGGGAAAGACTACCATTAACCGTTTTTTGTCAGTCCCTGTCATGGGACACCAATATCGCATAGGAACAATGTTTGAGAAGTTCTGCTCCAATTAAGCAAAATTACAGTTACATACATCACCTATAAGCAAACAATAAGTTCTTTATTTCACGAAAAGGAACAAAAATTTTATTTTGACTAATGGTGCTTGCTTCCTGGAATAGGCTCATAGCCCTACCTTGGTTATCGAAGAAAGTAACAATTTACCATCTTTTTCCTTCTTAGGCTGTGAGGTTGAGATTCTTGGTGTCAGACCTACTTACTGCCTAGAATATAAAAATGTCCCAACGGATATCAATTTTGCCAATGCAGTCAGCGATGCTCTTGACTCCTTCAAGTAAGTGTCCAAAATTCTTAGCCGTACCATTCTTCTTCCTTGTTTCCAGGACCAATAATGAATGCTAAAGTGGACTAAGAAGGCTTATAGGTGGAATAATGTCCCAGAGAGGTGGTGAGCCCCTCGCATGGTGATTGTTAACTGCTATGAGAGAATAATTGTGAGCAAATAATTTCAGGCAGGGGCACTCTCTGGAAATGTGGAATTGAGAGCAAGAAAGTCCCCAGGGGTTTGAGACTTTCTTCTTTATGTTGATTGACAATGGAGAAGCAATATGAATGTCAGCATTTTTCTAATCATGACATAGTGAATGCTTGTGTCTCAGAATATATTAAGTATTCGGCAAAAAGGGAAGTTCTGTGGTGGAATAAGTTTGAAAAAATTGTCTACTCTACCCTCTTCTTGGAAATATATAAAGCACATTAGCGTATTAGAACATAGAACCTTTTTTATTTCTTTCACATGGAACTATGATACACCATTTGAAAAACGCAGAAATCAGTACTGCTGTCCTGAATAGCACACAGGAGTGTGTCAGGGAAATTGATCAACATGACAGGTCAGGACAAAGCCTCAAGTCAGTCTCAGAAATCAACGGAATTGGAAGTCAAGATGGGAGACCAGCTAGGGGTCTGCAGTAGAAATCAGCAACCAAAAGGCTAAGGATGTTGGGGGCTCTCACATTTCCAGGGCTGGACATGGGGTCACCTTGGCTGCTGAGTGGGTCTCATGAGTGGAGTCAAGGCAGGAGACCCACAGTAAGCAGTGTGGAGACCAGGGAAGGACCTTCATCCTCCGAAGAGAAACAGCCTGGTTTCAAGCTGGGCAGACCTCGAGAGCCAGAATACCATAGGCACGGTGTACAGATCACTAGCACTAGCTACGTGATGTGGTTGACCCGTAACTAAGATCACCTGGGATGGAGAGTTGACCAATTATGAATCCCATTCTTACCACCTTCACCCCAACCAACACAGAGAGCTGCAATCACCCTCCACACTCCTGTTTTCACTGCTTCTGAGAATGATTCCACTTCCGTGAAAACCCATCAAGAGGGTCCTTTAGGGCACACAAAGGTTCGGACTCTGATTGACAGGTTGGAGACAATATAGGTTTAAAATACTTAAAAATTGAGAAGTAACATATTTAAAAGTTTAGGTGTTTGGTGGGGAGTTGGAGAGGCAAGGGGCAGGGTCTGGAGGAAGCAACCTTTAAATAAATATTCTCCAACACATGGTTTGTAAGTAGTGTGTGTTATGTGATCCTATCTCCCACCTACTCTTTCTTTTTCTTGCCCACAAGTGCTGCAAAATCACACATGTGGTGAACTGGAATATTCTGTTGCAGTCTAGTTTGTGCAAGCAAAGCAGAATAGCCCAGCATGCACAACAGATGAGCAAAGCTGGAACTTTGGAATAGCTCATGTCTATACAATGCTGTTTCCAAGATATCCAAAATGTTAGCCATCCCTCCCACCTATTGCCATGCCAAATTTGGAACATAGTTGTCATACAAATACCTCCCAAAAATCCAACACTCTGTATGGCAGTATAATCTTTTTTCCTTTTTTCTTTTTTTGCTGGGGAAGATTCACCTTGAGCTAACATCCATGCCAATTTCCTCTGTTTTTTTAGTATGTGAGCTGCCAGCACAGCATGTCCACTAACAGAGTGGTATAGGAAAAGAACCCTGGGCCGTGGAAGCAGAGTGCACTGAAATTAACCAGTAGGCCACTGCGGCTGGCCTGGCAGTGTAATCTTTTTTGCATTCATCTTGCCTTGACAGCTGTATGGTCTCTCCCTGTATTCATCCCAGTGATTCACAGACAGAGTAGCACAGAGCACACAGCCATGAGAATCCCGGGTCCATGCTGGCCTGCAAGCTGGCCAATCCCAGCAGACTTCCTTGTCCTGAGGCATATGAGAATGCTGGAGGAATAAGTTCTGGGCTCTGTTTCCTAGAGAAGTTTCCATTTCTGTTTCTCTGTTTCTAGAGAAGTTTTTCTTTTTTCCTTTTTAAGCAACACAGCAAAGCTATGGAACGCAGGGGAATCCCATCTTTGCCTTGGAGCACAGCATTTAAGAAGCGGGAAGATGGTGGTGGTGGTGATCACGTGTGTGTGTGTATGTGTTCAACAAAAGCATTGAGTTCCCTTAGAGAGAAAAGGCTACAAAGAACTGGAAGCCTAGAAAAGTGGCCCCAGACTAGGCCTCCACATGGTATCTCCTGGTGCTACCCCACTGCCCAGCTCGGCACCATTCACGTTGTAGTCTATGTAAATGGTCTGGAGCTCCAGCGGATGGCATTTGCATGGTCAACACATGAATGATGCCTCCGGAGCTGGCCTGTGAAGGCCTGGTCAGGGTGGAACCAGGCCAGGGCCATTGTCTTGTGGGGTCTTCATCCTGCCAACACTAGCCAGAAACAGCCCCTTTGAAGAGTGAGTGGAAAGATGGAGACTCACCATCTCTAAACGAGTGCTTGAAATGAGAGAGGGAAAAAAAGGCAAAATAATTAGCCAGATGATACTGCCCGCGGAAAGCAGTAGGATGATTTAGGCTCTCCTCCAACGAAAAAGGAGACCCTGTTTCAATCAGCCTACGTAGTATCTATTATTAGAACATGTCTTGTGACTTTCTTGCAAAGCAGAATAAAGGATTGACCTTTGTGGGCCAACTTTTTCTTGGTCTAGAACAGTCTGGAACAATCAAGACCATTTTACATGTAGTGGCTTGTTCATGCAAGAATGTGACTCCAAGGAATCATGAATTTTCTTGATGTGTGTGTTCAGGCAGAGAAGAATCATTATTTATCTTCCCATTCAGAGAGCCCTGGATGGAGGAGCATGTTTAGAACTCCACAGCTCACCTCTTGGTTTCTGTTCAGCTCTGTCTCAAATTCCTAGTGTAATCTGAAGAGCACTTAGAGTCTCACACACGAGTGTGCAAACACACACACACATTTCTCCCAGCCAGGATTGCTTATAGAGGGTCTTTTTCCACTCTGCTATTAGTTTGAGAAGCAGAGAGAATGGATGCAGGACAGATGGGCTTTGACAGAAGGCAGGAGGGGCAGTCAAGATCTTGCATGTGGGGTCCTACCCAGGGACAGCATTTCAGCAGAGGCCAGCTCAGCCCAGAAGCTGCACTTGTCTATGTAAGAAGGGCTGATCCAAGCTCTGTGTGAGATGAGCCCCAGAAGCATCACCTCCCGGGCTCATAGAGCTTTGCCAACCTGAGTCATACCTGTACACCTAGACACCTTCTAGCACAGAGGAAAGGAGAAGGAGAAAGAGAAGGGAGTGGGTGTTTTCAATGCCCATCAGCTAGCATCGTGTCAAAGGCTTTTGTGTCTAACCACTTTGCAGCCCTGGCTGCCTGGAGGAGGCGGGGCAGCTGCCTCCAGTTTGGTCCCTGCAGACTGACCAGTGCAGCCTCTCAAAATGGTTGGTCCAATACCAACTGGGCCACTGGAGCAGTGAACACAGCTACTGTCCTTTGTCACGGTCCACTGGAATTCCCCCAGGATCCCAGAACCTCAGTTGATACTCGTGCTAATAAAGGAGTCGATGGATGACAAGAGGGTTCTTTCCACAGGCCATGAGGCAGCTGGCTCAAATGTCCGCACTTTTGTCCCTCCTTTCTGTGCCTCTGAGGAAGAAGGGGCAAGAAGGCAGGCTTGGCAGAGACTTGGGTCTCCTCCTTGCTTGGCTCACAGGGAAGAGCCATCTAGAGGCATCTGGAAGAAAAAGAGAAATGGGAGGCGTTTCTTTCCCTTCACCTCCCTTTTACTGTGTGTCAAGCCCTTTACACACATCAGCTCATTTAATACCCAGTGCAGCCCTTTGAGGAGGATTTTCAGGCGGGGAAATTGAGGTTTAGAGAGATCTTTGCCGTTCATCTGAGACCTCCAGGTTAACAAGAAGAGAAGCCAGAATTTGGAACCAGATTTGTCTAGTTCCAAAGCCCTGTCAAAGTATAATTTTCCAAATTAAAACTTTGTCAAGTGCTCAGTCCATACATATAAGAGAATTATGTCAAAGTTCGAATTAGTTTATTACTGAGGGAATCAGGAGATGACAAGGCTGGTTAAAAGGAGAATATGAGAAACACACACATGAAGAACAAGAGTTATGGGGAATGATGGGGTACAATTATTAGTAGGTGCAAAGATGCTTCATAACTTAGAGGATAATCAAACCATAATCTTTGGCAATGCTTTCTCTATCAGACAGAAATAATTTTCATCCTGTCAGTTTCCTACGGGTTAACAGCTAAGTTTACAGAATCTGTGCTCTAACCCGTCGTTAAGTCACCAGACTTAAGCAAGTTTATTAGCTGCTGCTCCACTATGACACTGAAGGGACAGGCAGTTATTTTTTTGGCTGTGTTTCTAAGGTTTGGATCACTTTTCTTAATAGTCAATAGCTTCAACCATTCCTTTAAATTGCCTCCATTTCTCTCTCCTTACTTCTTCCCTCTTTCCAACCCACTTCAGTAAGGAAAATGGATACGACGCTATGAACTTTTTACATTGAAAAGAAATCTGGACAGAATCCTAAGGTGATGGGAGACCAGGGTGTCCCTGAAAACTCAGTGCTAGGGGCCCCTTGCAGCTCTCAGGTAACAGGGCTGATGGCCACATGGCCTTCTGGCATGGTTCCTGGACCTGAAAGCGGTAAATGGCCAATAACAGATCTGCAGGCATTTCCACCCACCACTCCTCACCCAACCGCTCCATTATAAATGAGCTGACCTGTGACGGAGACCAGATCCATGTGGAAAACAGCTGGCGACCAAGAGTTTGTCAGCTAAACTTCCAAACAGGCGAGAACTCTCAGCCCTTGAGGACTTAGGTCCCTAATGAATCAATGAAACTCCAGCCTAGAAGCCTTACAAAAGGCGTGTGTTTAAACCCCTGAATCTCAAGCCTCCCAGATCCAGTGTTCCAGGTGTCTGGGGTTGACAGCTTCGTGACACAAAGCCATCAGGGAGATCTGTGAGATTTACTGGGCTTCTGATCACACAGAGATTTGTGAATATAGTAAATAGCCTTAGAGAAATCAGCCCAGTGGCTGCTGTGTGAAGGGGAGATATCGAAAATGTAGGGACCTAAAAGCATTTCATTGAACTTTAATGCAACAGTAAATCTTGTTTGAGAAATCTCTCCACATCCAAGCCCCACCCTGCAAGTGTGCGCACCTAAACACGGGATAACTCATCCCATCTGGATGCTACAGACGCAAGTGCACAAAGCGGCTAACTGCTGAGCTTATGGGAGGGAACGGTTTTCTGGAAGCTTCCATCATGTTCAACATAGTGGTGGAGGAAGTGCACCATCAGTGTAATGAACATGGGTTCCAAAAAAGTTCAGGGATGTGTATGAAAACACCATTACCCAGTTATGACTTTTACATCACCTACACACTTGCGGGACCTAAAGTGACATTTTGTTCTCTGCTGTCTGTAGATGCAGAGGGAGTTGGGATGAGTCATTCACACATTAGCGAGTATGAATAATAATATCATTGGTGAGGAAGATTAGCAGATGTTTGGTCCTGTCCAAAATGTCCATAACACATTTGGTCCATAACGCGTTTGGTCCACACCAAAAGGTCCTGGGCATTTGGTCCTGTCCAAAATGTCCATGAGCACATTTGGTCCATGTCAAGTGATTTTGGACAGGACCAAATATCCAGGACCTTTTGGCATGGACCCAATGTCTCCATGGACATTTTGGACACGACCAAATGTCCTGCAAGGATGAGAAATATCTAAATCATAACCTAACCAATCCCCACTGTGGAGGAGGGTGGTAATGGTATTTGTTAAAGAATGGTCAGTTTGCGTTGTTCTACAAAGAGAAAAGAACATTTGACTAGCAATTTCGCTTAACTTGAAACCAATGTATCCTCAAAATCGTTAATGAAGCACACCCCAAGGCATGCAGTAGAACGTCACAGCATCATGAAAGGATGTGCCCTCTTGGCAAGGATGTGCCCTCTTTTCAAAGAAGACACCAGGCAGATCGTTCCCTGGAACTTGCTCCCCAGTAGTGAATGGAGCAGATGTGGACATTCAAAATCCCAGGGTGGTAGAGTCAAGTATCCTGACCTTGGAGGTGGAAGATTCACATTTCCAGTCCTAAGCATGCCTCAGAGATCTGTGAGACTTTGAGTAACTCCTGGAATCCTCTTTGGCCTATTTCCTTATCTGCAAATGCTTTTCTATAGGAATGATTTTCACCATAGTTCCAGAATTTGGAGGCGCATCCAAATCATAGACAGAGAGCCCTGTGCATCGAGAACCAGAAGTGACTCAGTTTCCCTGTGCTGCCTTTGCCTTGTCTCATACCCAGCTTTCTTGAGGTTGCTGGGATTCTTATAAGAGAATAAGAACCATTGCCAGGGGCTGGCCCCACGGCCGAGTGGTTAAATTCACATGCTCCACTTCAGCGGCCCAGAGTTTCGCTGGGTCGGAGCTTGGGTGAGGACCCAGCACCACTCATAAGGCCGTGTTGAGGTGGTGTCCCACACAGCAGAACCAGAAGGACCTACAATTAGAATATACAACTATGGGGCCGGCCCGGTGGCACAGTGGTTAAGTTTGCATGTTCCGCTTCGGCAGCCCAGGGTTCTCTGGTTTGGATCCCGGATGTCGACATGGCACTGCTTGTCAAGCCATGCTGTGGTAGGCATCCCGCATATAAAGTAGAGGAAGATGGACACGGATGTTAGCTCAGGGCCGGTCTTCCTCAGCAAAAAGAGGAGGATTGGCAGCAGATGTTAGCTCAGGGCTAATCTTCCTCAAAAAAAAAAAAAAAGAATATACAATTATGTACTGGGGGCCTTTGGGGAGGAAGAGGAGGAAAAGGAGAAGAAGAAAAAGATTGGTTAGGTCAAGCAGAACATTTTCTCATTGGTGGGGGCTGTTAGGTTCAGTGGTTGTGTCTACGGTGTTGGAGTCAGCTGGACCTGGGTTGAGTCCTGGAACCATCTCTCACTAGCTGTGTGATGCAGGCAGGTGTATTGAACTCTCTGCTCAATATATTCCTACCTTAGAGGGTTGCTGTGAGGATTAAATAAGATAATGTATGAAAAGCCCCCAACCTAGTGCCTGACTCAGAAAAACTATCATTTATTGAGCTCTTACTATTATTATACATTCAGCTGACAGTTATAGAGCTCCTACTGTATGCCAAATCCTAGGCTGAGCGGAGACACAATGGAGAATGGGTCACCAGCCCTTGGGTGAAAGGACCTCACAATTTAGAGAGAGAGAAGGACACAGAAGTGGGCAATTACAGCACAGTGTGAAAAATCATAACCTGGAGATGAACTTAGAGAGCTATGGGAGCACCTGGGGGCCACCCCACTGGGTTGGTTCCTGGACGAGGCAACACCTCCCCTGAGACTTGAAGGATGGGCAGGAGCTGATCAACTCTGGTCATGCAAGCCACACCCTCTGGACCACTGTGAGGCCATTTTTCCTCTCCCGTGGATCATAAGACCTAAGGCATAGAGGCTCTGAGGACGCATATTCTTTCCTTCCTCATGTTCCAAATGTGGGGAGGCCACATCAGGCAAGACCATGCCGCCTCACTGGTGTGTGTATGTGTTTGTGTGTGGGTTTAAAATGCAGATTTTCAAGAGAAATAAGCCAATCCACCAAGAGTATTATTAACCCTTATAAAGTCCAATCAAGGGCATTAGCTTTCATTTCTTTTCTATTGCTCCAAATTCTGTCAGTTACCATTACTGCTACCATATCATCATCATCATCATGATCTTATTCTGTTCAGATGCTTTGGGGGAAGGCTGTGGGCAAAGCCAGAGTTGGGGAGGGGAGTCTCGGTGGAAAGCACTGGGTCAAAGAGGGAGGGTACGTTACATAGTATCTTTCTCTCCTGCCTGACTCCCGAAGCCTCCTCTTCCTCCTCTTCCAATTTATGTCATAGTTCCCATCATTCTCAGCCCACCTTCGAGGGTTAAATAGCTTAGATTTTTACCATGAGTAATCTAGGCAAGAAGGGGAGTTTTGCCGGCATTCTCAGCCCACCTTCGAGGGTTAAATAGCTTAGATTTTTACCATGAGTAATCTAGGCAAGAAGGGGAGTTTTGCCGGAACGGGGGTCTTCCTGGGCCCACTGCTAGAATTCACTCTGTATCCACATTGGACCTGGCCCTTCAGGTGTCCCCATAGAATAAGGGTCCTGGGGGTGTCTGCTCTTGTCAGGCCCTGAGCACTAACCTCTTTGTCTCCCATCAGGTTGCCATGGTAAAGCTTGTTCTTATTCTTGCCAGTCCATTAAACCCACAGTCCAATGTTTTATCTGTAGATTTCCCAAAGCTCAGCAATAATCCAACATTCGTTATTTAAAGGATTGCTTCTAGTTTTTCTGGTCTTCCGATGACAGCAGGTGGTGAGGGTAGAGCTATCAGAAGTGTTCTCTGCCTGTTACCACATCTTCCAGCTCTGGGGACATGATGAGCAGTGCCACATCAGCCAAGAGGGGAGGTGATCCATAAACCTGCTCTCTAACTTTTGTCACCAAGGTGCTCAGGACTGGCCCATCTTGGTGCAGTATTTCTGTTTCTCCCTTAGAGATCCCACTGTGTTCATTTTAAGGTATCAGCTTCCCACGGCCCACAAGGCAGGGTTTGGGTGGTGTCAATGCCTTCACAGAGGACTGTGGGTGAGAAGGGACAAAGTTGGCGGGGCCTCCCTCAGCAGCGCCTCTCTCACCCTGCTCCCTCCAGGAGTGGCCGGGCTGACCTGGCAGCCATATACCACGAGCGCATCGACGTGGAAGGCCATCATTACGGCCCCTCATCACCTCAGAGAAAAGACGCCCTCAAGGCTGTAGACACCGTCCTGAAGTACATCACCAAGTGGATCCAGGTGACCGAAAACAAGGACCACTGGGCTAACCTTCCCTCTTGTCACTCTCTTTCTGTCTCCTTGACTGTCACACTCCTCAACGTCTTCCTTCTTACTGTTGACAGCTGACTAGGCCAGCACAAGGCTTTGGGTGGTCTCTTTTCTTCACACAACACCTCTTCAGGTATCAAGGGACCCCTCGTGTTGTAGCCCGGCCAGTGGATGGAAATGACCCAGGTCTGCATTGTTACCTGGCTTAGCTGGTGAGATAGCCCAGCTCTTTACCCAACCAGGTAAGTCTGGTGACCACCTTGGCGTGGGCATAGGAACCAGACCTGACTTCTGTCCTTGATTCTGCCACACGCTTGCTGAATGATTTTAAGCAAGGTATTACTTTTTTAAAACTTCCCTGGGCTTTACTTTTCACATCTGTAAAATGGACGAGTGACAATGCTCATACTGCCACACAAGTTTGTAGAAAGAGCCAAAGAAGATGGAAACAGAGAAGATACCTTACAGGGCTAAAGCTCCATATGTATTATTTTTAGCCCTAATAGAGTGGGGCCTGGGCGCTCACATACCCCTCCCCACAGTGCTTCTGAGGCGATTTTGAATTGTGTCCCCTCAGGGCAGAAGAGTAGACGATTAAATTCAGGATTGAGAAAGTATCCTTTCGCCTATCACTTGCAGTTTAAAACACTTCTTTACAGACTCCAGAGTGTGAGGGCATCTGTCTCTGTCATGACCACCTTTGTCGCCCACAGGAGCGGGAGCTGCAGGACGACCTCAATGTCATCATCTTCTCAGACCACGGGATGACGGACATTTTCTGGATGGACAAAGTGATTGAGCTGAATAAGTACATCAGCCTGAGTGACCTGCAGCAAGTGAAGGACCGAGGGCCTGTTGTGAGCCTCTGGCCGGCCCCTGGGAAACACTCTGAGGCAAGACGGCCATGATGCGGGGAGAAGGGCCGTAGGAGGGGTGAGGGGAAGGGAGCGGACATGCCCTCATTTGCTGTCGCTTGGCACTTGATCTTGTCTGTAGCTTTCATGCTGAAATCCAGAGCCGTGTCAGGAGCTGGGGCTCTGGGCGCAGGTGACCCCTTTGCCACTTACTCGCTGAGTGAGCTCTGCCAAGCTGTTCATCCTCCTATGTCTCTGTCTTTTCTTCTCTGAAATGGGCATAAAGGTCCCTATCGCACTGAATGGTCGTGGGAATGAAATGAGATGAAGGATGTGCAGTCCTCCTCATGTTAAGAGCTTAGCCCTTAGCCAGCCGATTTTATTATTTGGCTAACATGCAGCCCTTCTTAGGCAAATCTGGGGAATATTGGATGCCTGCGTAGAATCTTCTTTCTCTGGAAGAAAGCTGCCAGTCTGATCTATTTTCGTCAGGGATCTGGACATGAGAAGGTGTTGAATGGAGGGAAGCTGAGGCCGCATGCCCTTGGTCAGTTCCTTATCTCAGGAGCCACACTGCTTGGGTTCAGATCCCCGCTCTGTCATGAACTGGTAACTGGGCAGCTCCCAAACCCAGCCCCTCGGCTGCTTCTCTGTCCTTGCGTGTGATGATGTCTTCGTAGCCACCCGCTGAACAGCTATAAAGCACATAGAAGCATGCTGGGCCCACTGCAAGGATGATGTATGTGTCACTTATTATGATTATCGCCATCGAAGGGGGACGCGCCCAAGAGGGTATGATGGAGTTCCCCACAATGTGCAGATGTGGGACAAAGCTCTGCTCCCCACGGTCACTGCCCTCCGCGAACTCAGCACCTGAGATGACCAGGCCTCTACTTGCCCTTGTCCTCGATCAACAAGGCAATTCAATCTGGCACTTCTTGGTAAATCACACCGAGAAAACGAGGAGGAGCAAGTGGCACCTTTTTCTGAATGTTTTGCCCCCATGTTGCCTAACCGCCTCCCAGTGCAGGCTCTGGAGCTTCTGCCCACTCCCAGAGAAAACTGGTCTGGACCAGGAAGTGAGTCTCTTCCTCAGGGGAGGCCCAGACTGCTGCCAGTGGAGGTGCCAACCACAGGGTGCCAGGAACTGGCCTTGGGTGATCCTGGTGCCTCCACCCATCGTCACGGCAGTGATGAAGTTGGCAGTGGATGGTTGTTGGGATTGATGGAGCGCTAGGGTAGGCCAGGTCTCTCTTTGGCCCAGAGAGAGACCCTCCTCCCAACCCTCCCCATTCCCGTATAGGAGTCTGAGATCTGTCTCCTTGGGGTTGAGGAACACGGTTGTCAACAATGCCACTCTTCCCCAGCCTTGTCCCAGTCCCCATTCCCCATGGTCAAGAAGTGGACGTATTGAATATGTTTACGCAGGGTCCCCATGAACTCCCTAAACAGGAAACTGGGAAGAATATTTTACACATTGGCAGGTCCCACAGTAAACGGCTTCTTGCAGAGAAGTTCTGTTTTCCTGGCAAGGAACATCATCTGTATCTCCAATTTGTCACTTAAGAACGTGCGTCTCCAGAATGCTTGAGCATCAACAGCTTGTGAGCTGGGAAGAGCTGCTTCCAACACGGTGTTTAAATCAGGCAGTTGGTAGATTATTCAAAAGCAGGGGCTCTGTTTGGGTGACAGTTTGTCACGTGATGGACACAACAGTTTGTGAGACCTGTTATGTGTCATCAGATTTTTCATTTATCCAAAATCTTTCTGCAAATGCACCCTACTTTCCTTAAGAACTATGGGTTTTCTTAAGTAGGAAATCGTAACTCACGGGGCCGTAGAAACGCTCTACTACACAGCCTGAAGACTAGTTATTTTCCAGACTTGAATTAATAATTCAATTTTATATTCAGTTCTACCCAGGATTATACTCCTGATTTGCCTAAGGGCCAACAAGTCAACATCAGCCAACTGATTTAAATTTTAGCCGTAAACATTTAAGCTGCTACTAAATATTGGCAATACGGACAGAGTTTACATCTTCATCATGAAATTAGATGTGTAATTAATGGCAATTACTAGTACTTTTAAGATTCAAGTGTAGGCAGGGCCTGCTCCAGGTCAAGTCAAAGAACAAATCCTCCTTGATCTTGGTAGTATTTAACATCAGGCAGACTGATTTCTCATTTGCCTTTTGATTTTACTGCAGCATTTTTGACGTAAGTAAGTTTTTGTAATTTGTCCATTAATTATTGCGTAGTTACCAAAAATTTATTATAAAATGTGTGTAAAATATAGAGGATAATGTTACAACAAGCACCTTCTAGTCACTAAACATTTAAGAAAGAGGACATTACCATTACCAGTGATGTCTCCTGTGTCCTCTTCTCAGACCCCATCACCTTTTCTGCCCCCACAGAGGAAACCACTGTCCTAAATTATGAGTTATCATTTCCATAATTCTCTTTAGCTTTACCATATATATTCTTTAGTTTTATAGTTATTTGAATTTGATATAATAGGATTAATCCTGTCTGTATTCTTCTGCAACTTGCTTTTTTTTCTTTTCTCAAACTGGGATCCACAAGATTCTTCTGGGTGTTCTATGTAGCTGTAATCCATTCATCTTCATTGCTATATAGTATTCCACTGCAGAAACACACCACCATTCATTTATCCCTTCCACTGTTGCTGGCCATTTGAGATCTTCCCATTTGCAGTATATATCCCTCTACATGTCTACAGGTGCACATGTGTGAGGGCTGTCACTGTATCCACAGGGATTAACTTGTTAGGCCATGGGGTATGTGGATCTCTAACCTTGCTAGATAAAGCTATCTTGTTTTCTGAGACAGACTAAAGTTTCCCATTTTTATGTAGTCAAATCTATCAGGTGTTTTGGTAATTCCTTTCTTTGGTCTTATAAAGTCCTGTTTCTCCCCCAAGTCCAATACTATTCACATATATTTAAGAAAGAGAATGCAAACCTGGTCATTCTTGGTTGTCTTTGCAGATATACAACAAATTGAGGACAGTGGAACACATGACTGTCTACGAGAAAGAAGCCATACCAAGCAGGTTCTATTACAAGAAAGGGAAGTTTGTCTCTCCTTTGACCTTAGTGGCCGATGAAGGATGGTTCATAACTGAGGTAATTATAAAACATATGACAACTTATTCATTTATTCAAATTCTATCAAATAGCCAAAGATAAATAATCATTCAGCTTTTATACCTAAAAGATTTCGTTTTCACTTAAGTGTCATTCATTGCATTATTCCCTTCTCTAGAGAATCAAAAGCCTCGGTCAGGTGACTTTGAAGACACAGACTGTAGGAGCCAGAGTCACGGTTTAGGTTGTGTGGCTCCAGACTCGCTGTATTTTAACAAACGGGCCTTAACTCAATTACCCAGGCATACAATGTAACTTATTCAGTCTAAAGTGGAACAATTACTGTGAACCAAAGCAACTGCGTTAGGCCAATGAAAAGCAACACAGGCTCAGCTTTGCCTCCACCTTAAAGAGAAATGTTTGGCAAATAAAACTCCAGAGATCCAGGTCCCCAGCTTGCCAACTTGATTTTACAGAGATTATCTTGCATTTTGGGTCCAAACCCTAATTGCTTCATGTCTGAATGACTTCAGCAGCCTCCTCCCAGCCTGCCTGGATCCAAGCTCACCCGGCTTTTGGATCGGTTTCTGATGTTGGGCCAGCGTGGGAAGGCCCCGCCCTTCAGGGAAACCGCAGGTCACATCCTGTTTAGAATCAGTTCCTGAAGAGGGCATGGCTTATTGTAGACAGGAGTTTGAAGATGGTTGCAAATAGATCAGACTACAGGGGGAAAGGGAGTGGCAGATGTTGACTCATGAGAGTCGTTGGTCAAGGCCAACAAAGAATGAGACCTGAGACTAGTATTTAATCTGCCAGAGAGAGGGAAGGGGTGATCAGCAGAAATATCCATCAGCCAAATGAGTGGAATTCTAAGGACCTTGGTGTAGAAAAATGGGGGTTCCCTGACCTGAAGTCCCATCACTCAGGAGGACTGAGTTGTAGCTGTGCGCTCGCAGACAAAGATAGGCACCTGGTCACCGAGGAAACAAAGCAGACAGGTCAGAAGTGTCAGCTGCATAGCCCCGAGGCCAAGCTGGGCCCTTCTCCTCTGCAGACTTTGGTTTCTTATGCTGTGTGATTTACAAGTCTCCAAAGGGGCCCCCTGCGCCCTAACGCTCTCTCCTCTAAGAACCAATATGCTGCTCTTCACTTGATCACACTGCAGTTCACCTGAGGGAGATGGGTCTGGCCTCCCAGCATTTCCACTGAGTGTGGTTTTCCCAGGGTTTTGCATTGAACACACGTGCAGTCAAGCGGTCATCTGGATGGGTGCCCATCCAACTGTATTCCATAAACCCAACTTTCCAAGTCCTACAAAAGGGCTTACATTTTGAAATGTTTTCAATTTAGAAAATGCTAGTGGAATGGCTTTGAGTTTTTAAAAGCAAAAAGACGATGAGGGCTAATCCACAGTTAGCTGTCACTCATTTCTTAGAATGACTACATGCATCGTATTTAGCTGAAATCACCGCACGGGGAGGCTGGTCATGGTAGGGAGGGAGAGTGTAAGAATGCAGAGGTGATTTGGGGCAATTTATGGGAAAACAGGCTTAAGGAGGGAGAGTGGCAAAGCCAGAGGGCACCCTGAAGACCCTGGACAACTAATTGGTGCCATCTCAGTTCCAACACAAGAGGCTCTGGACCCCTCCGGGAGGGTGGGACAGGCACTGGTGAAGCTGCTCTAGCCGTATGTGCTGTCGGAGAAAGTTCTTTCTGGAAGGTGCACACAGTATCTCAGCAGGAGCACATCCTGCAAGAAGATGCAGGTTTTTCTAGTGAGTGACTAAAACACAGTGATGGGGGACCTGGGGTATCAGTTAGGATGCTCTTGGTTACAAGTCACAGACCACTTGAATAAACGTGCCTTAAATAATAAAGATTTATTATCTCACATAACTAGAAGTCTGGAGACAGGCAGTTCCATATTTGGCTCATCCAGCAACTCGATGATATCAAGGCCCTGAGTCAGCTCTTCTGCAGTTCTTTTGGCTTTCCCTTTGGAGTCACGAGATGGCTGCTGCAGCTCCAGGCATTACATCCCCTTCAGATCATCCTGAAGCAGGAAAGAAGGGGTGTGGCTTCTTGTATATCTCCTACTTTTATTAGGGAGCAAAATATATATCCCAGAATCAGAGGCAGATACAGGTTTGGTGGGACTCTGAGAGTTATAAAATTTGGGGGAGGAGGTCTCTCTCTAAGAAAATAATGCACAATTATGAATATAAAGTTAGGTACAGGGACTTGGAACAAAACTATGTAAGTGAGAAACCCAGAGGCTTCTTTAACTGCACTGTAAATCTGCTTCTGCCCAGAACCCACCAGCAAACTTCCCCTTAGGTCTCATCAATCAGCTCATTAGTGTGGCTAGAAAATCCCCGCCTTGGGTCCCCTTAGGTCCAAAGCTCTGGAACTGTGCTGAAATGCAGTCCAGGGGGCCACAATCACAAGGCGAAAGTGAGACAGAGGCTTGGAATTAGGCAGACAAGTTTCCTGAACCTGCATCAGCAAAAAGAGGAGTGAGAGGAGAGCAAGGATGAAGAGCACCATCTCCACCCTCCTGACAGTGATGGCCCACTCCGAAAGCCCAGTGACGACTCCGAGGATGCCTCCTCCTGCCCCTGGCTGCTTCCATCACACCCTCTCGCTACCTCCCAACATTCTCCCCACTCTGCTCAGGGTCCAAGTACCTGCCCCCCTGCAGGAAACTGGCAAATTGCAGTGTCTTCTGAGAGTGAAGCCATATGATAATTGCACATTATATATTATATTACGGTTATGTGCTGCATAATGACCTTTCTGTCAACGATGGTGGTCCCACAAGATTAGTACCATAGAGCCAAAGTGTGTAGGAGGCTATGCAATCTAGGTTTGCATAAGTACACTCTGTGATGTTCACACAACGATGAAATCACTTAATCACACATTTCTTAGAATACGTTGCCATCGTTAAGCAACACATGATTTTATATTGTATTATATAATATTACTTTTGTCTGGATCACACAAATACATACATTTGTTTGTGTATATCAGAACTAACAGTCAAGCAGTTAGCAAGGGCTACCCAATATTTCACTGTGTGGCTTAAGAAGTGGGGAGAAGCCACAAGCACTGAAAAGAAAAATGCCTAACTATTGGCAATAAGTTGAGCAGCATTAAAATATATATAATTATTTCAAAAAAGAGATTTAACGCAATTATTAAAATACTTAAAGCAGAAAGTCTTTTCTGGAAAAGAAAGAAATGAGAAGGAAGATAAATAGGATGTAAAAAAGATGTGAAAGAGTAGTGTTGACTCACTGAACACGGAGAACATCACTGTTATCTCACACAGCTTTAATTAGTAATAATGGGTACTATAAAACGGATCTTTGTTTATCACGCCTGGCTCATTAGAAACTTTAGGACTTCTCCCTCAGAGTTTCAATGACATGAACATAAAGTTGTTTTACCTTTTGCAGAAATAAATCTGTCAAGAAAAATCCCTTCTTAAAATTCTGGTCAATTACGACAATAATAATAGCGATCTTGAATTAAGCACCTCGTGGTTACTATTCTAATCTTTGAATGACCCTACATTGTGGATATTGTTAGCCCTGAAAATAACATACCACAACATAAAATGCAACACAAATGTGGTTCTGAGCCTCCTGGCAGCCAACTCAAAGAGGAAAAGTACAATCAATTAATGTAACTTACGTGTCAGTAATGTACAAACACAAATCTTTCTCAACAAAATCATGGTTGTCCCTGAGTCTTGAGAGAATTTTAGATATCTTTTAGTCACTCCTTTTCGTACCTTAGTTTCCTAGACTGAATATGTTAATCATTTTACTCCTATCCTTGAATGTATGGATTTTTATTTTTAAGACTCACATGTAAAAATTATAATTTCCAATTCTACTTTCATATAACATTGGAGTTTTATCTCTTTGTCTTCTGAAAAATCCTAAAAATACGCGTCCATTCTTTCCTCGTTGTCTTGGACTTTTTTCTCTTCCATCTTTCTGTTGTTTATTATACTTACTAGACTACAGAGAATTGGAAACTCTGTTCCATATCCTTGCTCCTGCTCTGTGCCAGGGCTATTAATCTCCCGCATTCCTATTTGTGAAATCTTTCCCCACGCGGTGAAAGGCCTTTGTGTCTGCTCTGTAACCTGCACACCAATGCACAGCGCATGTGACGGTGTTCTGGGCCGGCCTGCATTTCGCATCTGCAGCAGGCCGGAATCCTCAGCCCTGAGAGCAGTCTCTCTGGGTCTGGATTTGGAGAGCAGAGGAATCAGGTTTTTTTTCCTGGTTTAGACATGACTAGGAAAACAGCTGAGTCAGGACAAAGTGATGCTGGTTGGGGCTAATAAAATAGAATCCCATCTCCCCTTCCTTTCTCCCTACAGCTGTCATCCCCAAAATGTATAAGATTTGGTTTTCTTGGCAAAAATGCCCATTCCCACATAAACACCAACTTATTGCCACCAATGTAAATTTTGCAGACTCTAAGACAGCTGCTCTAACGGGAAGACCTAACTGAGTTCATTTTTGTGTGTGGTCACTTAAAGAGCTGTCACTGAAAAAAGATAAAGACAGGCAAACAGATTTCATTTGTCATCTGGGATTGCACAGTTAGGTAGTGTGACTGCTGACGTTGCCATATAAAAGCCAACTCCCCACCCAGTGGCTGCCCGGAGTATGCTTCCGCTCCTATGCTCTTTAATATACAGACTGGATTTCCAAATGCTGCCAGTCCTTTCTCTGGCCTCCCCTCCTGCAAGGGCAGAAATCTGAAGGTGTTCATATTCCCAGAGGACTAAACAAGAAGAGGCAAAAAACTGGCCACCTGCTTAGGTTAAGCCCCAGCCTGTCACACCTGCCAAGCTCCTTTCCTCAAGGATAGAAATAGGGCTTCCTAACTGATGCCCTGCCTCCTCTGTCTCCCTAAGATCTGGCCACTGTCCTCTGGAGACCTTCTCTTTCCTTGTCCTTGCCAGAGGATAAGGTTCATACTCTTCACTGGAACATTCGAGCCATGCACAAGGTGGCCCACTCTCCCAGCCCAGGGAGTTTCACTCACCTGTGCTCTACACCCATCCCTCCCCCAGGGGATGCCTGGAAAGGGGCTGGGGTAGACTGGGTAGTTACAACATCTAGAGTGGTCCAGGGCCCCCGGGAGGCAGGTCCGGTGGTGCTAAGTTGGCATATGAGAGATGCCAATGGCATATGGGATAGTCAGCAAGAACACAGCAAAACGCAAAGTGGGGAAATACTGGGCACGGTTTCCACCAAACTCAGGTACCCTCTTCCATCCTCCACTGAGAAATCCGCACACCGAAAAAATCACTCACCTACAAATTCAACAAACATTTGATGAATGCCTCTTCCATGTAACGATCAAAGTCCTAATTCCAATTAGAGCAAGGAGCCGCTGGGAGCTCCTGCCCTCACGGAGCCTAGAGCCCAGGGAAGGAGCCGAATATTAAATAAACACGCATGCCATACAAACAAACAAATGTGCAATTACAAATCACACTAGGTGATATCGTGGAAAAAGAGTACTATGAACGATACTGTCTAGGAGGCGATGGAACCCAGTTTAGAAGAGGGCGCAGAAGGTCTCTCTGAGGAAGCAACCTCGAGGCTGAGACCCGAAGGATGAGCAGTCATCGTTCCGGCAGAGAGCGGGCTTTGCTTTCCAGCCCGAAGTTGTGGGATGCTCGAAGAATCTGAGGCAGCAAAGAGCTTGGAGAATTGGAGGGACTGAAAGAATGGGCCGCGTGGCCGAGTGTAGGGCATGAGGAGAGGAAACGTCTCGTGGATGAGGCTGCCCACGTAAGCAGGGGACGGATCAGGCCAGACCGTGGGAAAGACTTGGTATTTTATCTTAAGTGCAATGGAAAACCACAGGGAATTTGAATGAGGGAGCATCATCATCCATAATCCTCAGGATAGTTTAATTCATGACTCATAAGAAAAACAGAGTTGAGGAACTGAGACTGTGAGCAGTTCCCCCCAAATTCTGCTATTTCTTATTGACGCACTAACTATCGAGACTACCAATAACATTATTTCATAAACCCTTACTTAGTAATAATGAGTACTGTGAAAGTCATCTTCATTTATCATGGATGATTAGAAACTTTAGAAGGAGCCTTCCCCCACCACCATCCCCAAAATGTTTCATTGACGTGTGCATCAAGTTATTTTACATTTTGCAGATAATAAATATATCAAGAAAAATTTCTTTTTAAAATTTGGGTCAACAACAACCACAGCAATAATAGCTATCTTGAATTAGATGTCTCCTCGTTACTGTCTCTGCACCGTGGACACTGTTGTCTCAGTTTTACTGAGTTAACCAAGACTCCGAGTTGTAAGGGTCTTGCCTAAGGTTACAAAGCTAGGAGTGACAAAGCCAGGATTGGAACCCCAATACAGCCATTAAACACTCATTCCATCGTTTTCCAAAGATCCTCAAAATCTTCCATCAAAATGCTCAATGTATTTCTAATTTCATGTTCTGGAATTACGGACTCACCCTTCTGGTTCTCAGCCGAATCTAGAGATAGGTCAGCTCCTTCAGGAAAGTTCTAACGTCGTCGTTTATTTTTTTCTTGCTCACGTCACAATGCAAAAACCTCTACACTTGTTCTGCTGCCTTCTTCTCTTCCTAACCTCCAGCCCTCTCCTTCCCTACCACCAACATGGGCAATTTGCACATACTTGAACCAAAATTTTTATGTTTGGGAAAATGAGTTTTCCAGTGCAAGACTGAAGGGTTGGGAATTAATGGTTAGGGTCCCAAGGTGCTCCATGCTCTCCCGCCCCCACACCTGTACTCAGTGGGTTCCAGTAACATCAATCAGTCCAATAAATAGTCAGTCGAATCCCCAGAATGGCCTCTCCTTCCTGACTCCCATCTGTCCTTTAAGCCCAACTCAAAACCATCTCTTCCAGGAGACACCCAACTCTTCCCTAACTTCCTCCATCTTGGAATTCTCTAGAACCCTGAATCACTCTCCTGGGTGCCATATTTGTTTGTTTGCTTTTGTCCCCTTCCTCCCTGGATGGAAGCTCCTTGAGGGCAGGTCTGTGGCATCTTGATCTTCGTTTTCCTCCATGGAATCTAGTACATGGCAGAGGCCCAGTGCATGCTTGTGGAATCTGAATTAATAAATATCGAGACAGTCGGTTCGTGGTTATGTATTGACAGTTTGTTCACTTTGTAGGTCTGTAAACCGGTAACCAAGTAAACAGAGAGGAAGCTAAGTCAGGCCTTTAAGTTTGGCTAATTATTAGTAGCCCTAGAAGAGAGTTCAACAGAGAAGAGGTGTTGAAACCACTGATGGCAATTCTCCTAGCTTGAGTGAGTCCACAGATGGAGGCCACAGGCCGGACACATCAGCTCTTCCCAGTCCCCACTCAGCTTTAAGGGCTAGTTCCTGTGTCCTCTCATGAACAGTGCCCACCGCATGCCACCGTGCTCAAGAAGATGGCCAGATGTGGCCAGACCTGGTGAAAGATTTGAAACAGGGTGCTTCATTGTTCCTCTTCTGATCCACTGGACTCTTGTCCGAGTGGAGAGAAACACCGCAAGTTCAGGCCCAAGCTTCTAGGGGAGGCCGATATTTGCCTCCGGAAGAAAGAGTTATTTTGAAAACTGGAGAAGGGTATAAAACGCCAGGTTCAATTCTGAGGCCTGTGGTCAAGTGGCAGCTAGGCCTGGACCCAAAATATTTGGGGAAATCAAGAGCACCTGCAAAACGTGGCTTCTAAGTTTTAGTGGCAGCTGGAGTGGGATTGTCCAGG